TATACTCGCACCTCTTACCCCCACCATCTCCCCTTTTTAATGTCCACCCCAACACATCACATTTCCTGTTTCGCTTTCAGTGCATTCTCTAATAATATCACAAGAAAACTTACTGTCCGTAAATATTCGCACCCGCCTTATTTTCTATTTCGTGAGACGCAGTTACGACCTTGTACGCCAGTTTTCAGTACAGAAACATATGCATAACATTTGGACCAGGTCTCACCATGAGACGATTCTATAATAAAACCGGCTTCAAAAGAATGGCTAATGATTTTGTCTAGTGCCTGCTTAGTGCTTGCGAGGGGTAAATTGAATATCGGACGAAATGGTCTCTTCTGGACGGAACGATTTCTGGGCATAATAAAACTGCAGCGATGACGGAAAGGTGAAATTGCTGAGAGTGAATATAAAGCGGTTCTAGAACAACCAACCCCCCTCTTTCATCGTCCCCCCCCCACTCAACAGTACCTTTTTTTTCATTTGTATACGTAAATATGCTTGCGTACACGCGTAGCTTATCATGTACTCACTCACATATCACGGACACGCACACATACTCACGCATGAGCACACGCATTAAAAACATACGCGCACACACACAAACACACACACACACATACACACACTAATACTCGTAACACACACACACACACACACACACACACACACACACACACACACACACACACACACTTGAACACACGAACACATACACACACACACACACTCGAACACACGAACGCATACATACACACACATACACATACACACACACACACACAGACACACACACAAATACTTGAACACACGAACACACACTAATACATGTACTCGTAACACACACACACACACACACACACACATACACACACACACACACACAAACACTTGAACACACGAACACACTACGTTCGGATCATGTTACAAATACCTCTAGGTCTTAGCGAGAAAGGGAAAGAGTAGAATGAATAAACAAGTTGTTATGATAAATGAATAAATGAATAAATGAATAAATAAATGAATGCATGAATGAATGAATGAATAAATGAAGAGTTATCAAGTATTAGCTACTTATGTGTCAAGCTTATTATCACTCTTTAGCTTTAATTTTTAGCTTTAATTTTTAGCTGTTAATTCTGTGACGTTCTCTCTCTCTCTCTCTCTCTCTCTCTCTCTCTCTCTCTCTCTCTCTCTCTCTCTCTCCTCTCT